TAAGTAATTCTGTAGTATTAGTTATAGAAGAAGCCTTGTTAGCTTGAAGATTAGATATAACTTGATTAGCAAAAGTTTGCTAATAATCATAGTTCATTTGTTTGTAAACAAAGACTTTTTATTTAGTTTTAGTAGCTAATCACTATTTTCTAATAATAGTATAAGAAAATTTTTATGATGATATGAGAATTTTGTGATTACTAAGTATACTTTAGTTAGCATTATCTATATAATAAGAAGTTAAATATCAAATGATAGAATGGTTAGCCCAAATGTAGTCAATGTGACTACTGTATCTGCTGCTATGCCAGGTAGGAGTTAATGATTATATATATTTAGCTAGGTTGTACATATTGTTATATTGGAGGAAATAAATAAGTTTGATTTTAATTGATGATGATTATACATTATCAGAAACATTAAAGTTATCTATGATTATTGGTTGTATGCTTTTAGTATTTGCTTCTTAAATCTATTATATAATATTATTTTAAATAAAAAATCTAAATTAAAGATCATTATTAGGTAAATAAACTAAAATAATGTAGAATTTAAAGTCATATTTAAAGAAAAAATCTATAGCAATAGCATAACTAGAAAATTGAAGTGTTTTGTAAACATGTAGTTTTAGATGTTTTTGAATTATAATTGTTGTTCTAGTTTTGCAGTTATCAATGCAAGACTAGTAATAGATAAACTGCTAAGATCTAGAAAATTTGGTATTTGCATTGTTTTGTACAATTTTAATTTCTGTAATGCTAGCTATATTGATGTTATAAGATAAATAATAATCCTTCCAAATTTGTTGTTTTAGATTATCATTGTATCTTCATGTGTTGTGTATACATATTGATAAATATAATAGTTTATATAGAGTTGATATAGATGTTTTCTTTATTAGTAAGTAAATGATAGGTTGTGTATTATAAGTGTTAAAGAATATAAATTGAGAAAGATTCTCAGATCTATTACTTGCATGATTAGATGTAAAAATAACTGGTATATAGAGATTCAAAAAATAGGTTTGTAAGAAACAATTGATCAAGTAAGACTGAGTGAATATTGAATGAAGTATTGTTAGATGTTATTAATAAAGGTAGATGTTTGTATATTTTATATTGAAAGAGTTAAATAATATAATGTTAATGCAAAATAGGATCAGAAAAGTTAGTATATATATGTAACTCAGTTTTGTTTTGGTTGATAGATATTTTGAAGCTATTTTTGAAAGAGTGGTTTTAAAAATAGAATAAAAAGTTTTTAAGTATTATAAGATTATATATAATAGGTAGATTGTGTGATTGTAGAAGTTTGTTGTAACATATATTTGTTTTTGCAAAATATGAAGTATTGAAAGCAAAAACTTGAGAGGTTAGGTTGTCTTTTACAGAATTATTCACCATTTGAAGCTTGGCTTGTACAGCTATAAAGAATACTATAGTCTGCTCTGTATATTGGATCTGGTTATTATTAACTTGGTTTTTCATGTAAATGGACTTTACTATCTGCCTACTTACATTATATTTCTTGTTAACTACTAGGAATGTATCTTTTGACAAGGTGATAGCTGCATTAATAAGATTTGTAAAAGACAGATTTATTGAAAAGAAGCCCCCTTAAGAAAAAGAGACTCTTCAATTAAGAAAGGTATAGAATATAATATTTAGAATTTTTCTTGTAGTATTTTGTTTGTCTCTGGATAGGCTGTTTCTTGATAATAAGTGTTAATTTGTAGATAGATAAAGTTTTTGTTAGAGGAGTTGTAGAAGATCAAAACTCTGGTCAATAGCTCAGTATTAATAGGTTTTGAGATAAAAAGTTTTATCACTTGTTGTTTGTTAAATTTATCTATATAGTAGTTTTGTGCTGCAATGCTTTGATATAAGTTAAGATATAAATAGAAATAATAGCTACAATGTTTAAAGTTAGTTAGAATATTGTTAATTGCACAGACTGATTTTTTTATTTTTGTTGTAAGTTCATTAAGAAGAATAGTTAGAACTTGTTTATTAAAAGATGCTTTATATTTGCTATTTTTGTAAAATATAGATAGATCAATTTTAGGTTGTTTTCAAATTTTATTTTCTTGTTTTGGAAAATCTTCAAAGAACTTTTTAAAGATATCATTTAGTAGTTGTGAGTATTTGTGTTAGTATTAAGGTTTTGGTGTTATAATAGATAAGTTTGGATTTTCTGTTTGTTTTTTTTTTATTTTAAGTTGCTATTTCTTCTAAATAAAAGCAATTTTCTTCTTTATAAATAAGTATATAAAAGTTGGCTAGTTTCATAGTTTTATTTTAACATTCTTGTTGATTATTAGATTGCTGAAATTTTATTTCTGTAGATAGAATTTCTTTAAAATAAAAGATAAATTGCTGCCAGATTTAGTATTTTAGAGAATTAAAAACTTTGGTTTTATTTAATAATTAGATAAATTGTTAATTATAAATTGAAAAAAATTGTTTAAACTATTGTTTTAAATGATTCAATAAATTAGCAAATAATATAATATTCAGTTTGTGAAGAAAATGAGTTTTTGGAATATTAAAGTCAAGATAAATATTAAATTTGTTATCAGATCGAATTATAAAGTATTGTTTGTCCTTATTAAAGTTAGTTACTTTTAATATAATATTAAATATTTTAGGTCAAAATTAAAAGTCTTTAGCAATTTAATGTAATCAATTGCTTAGTAGTTGTTTGAGAGATATAAATAAATATAAGCAATATTAATACAAAGTTGAATTCAGTTTTGATTTGTGTATAAAGGAATGATAGCTAATAAAGCAAAGATTTTAGAATAATTGAGTTTTGTAAATAAGATTGTAATAAAAACAAGAATAAGTTTTTAAGAGTTTTTTCTAATATATCAAATAAGATAGTAATAGCTTTGTCAGTATTAGAATTTGTTTGTTGAATAAATTTAATAAGGAATTGGGATCTGTCTTCTACTATTTTATGAATAATATGATAGAAGCTGATTTTGAAAGCTTTTTGTTTAGAGATTTTAGATTTGATTTCTTTTTCAAGATAGAAGTCATACAAATAAGATTTAAGAAAATTAAAGATTTTTTAGGAAAATTCTGTTTGAAGTTGTGATTTGTTTTTCATATCATCAGAGATTAGAGAATTAACAAGCCAATCAAATATTAAATTTGCTTTAATTTTAAATTGATTGTTGGTAGTATTTGTTTGTATTTATAATTATTGTTATTGGTTTGGTTGTTGTTACTATTGTTTGTTAAAATATAGTTGATGTTGATGTAGTTGTTGTTATTGTTGCTGATCATTACTAGTAATTATATTGTTATCTATATTTATATTATTTGTGTTACTAATAGTACCTGTAACTGAAGTTGTAAAAGTAAGTTCAAATGGTAATAAATTATAAGATCTAATTGATTGTTAAAGTTTTTGAATAAATGTTGAAGAAGAACTTGATTATTAGATAAGTTGTTAGATTTCTGTACAAGTTTTATAATAAGATTTGTTATTATATAGAATAGCATTAGATATCAAATAATGTTGATTGTTTATTTCTTTGTTACAAGTTTTATAATAAGGTTTGTTATTATATAGAATAGCATTAGATATCAAATAATATTGATTGTTTATTTCTTTGCAGATGATGAGTAAATTATATTTAACACAAAGATGGTTGTATATAATAAATAAAAGAAATACTGTAAGTGATAATAAAACAAATTTAATGAGTTTGCAATATTATTTGTAAAGATTTTTTTATTTTTGGATTTTCTGATAATGGAGATCATTTTATATTATTTATAGATTTGGTTGGTTGTTGATATAAAATAAATATAATACTTGTCACAAAAGTAAGTAATAATAGAATCTAATTTTGGTATTTTGAAATAATAATTACTTTTAATATTACCTTTAAGTTTAGTACTAATATAATTATTTGATTATTTGTTTATAAAAATGAAACATGATATATATGTTGCATTCTCATAGATACCAATTCCAAAGTTTTTAAAACATTTCTAATAAAAATAATCAAGATCAATATTATCTAGTATGATTATAAACAAAATCATTATTTTTTTTTAAAAATAAATTTCTAAATATATATTTTGAAAAATTTGTTTAATTTAAAGGTTTTCAAACTAATTAGAAAAATTTGAAAAAACTTAAACTTCTGATAAACTAATTAAGTATTTAGAAAATTCTAATAGGTACCAGAAAAGTAAAATTTTCAAAACACCCAGTAAATATTCCTAAAATTGTCAATGAAAAAAATCTGCAAAAAACAAGTTTTTTTTTAAACTACTCAAAATTGCCAACAAAATCAAACAAAATACTAATAAAATTTTTTTCAGATTACGTGAATTATCCAATAACAAATCACGCATTGGTGTAACGTAGCACGATCAAGAAGATCCAAAACAAACGTTCGTTTTCAAAAATTCTCTTCTAACTCCTTTTATGCTCTAACAAAAAAAATTCTCTAGCCAATTTTACTATATACTACCTTTTTCCTAACCTTAAATCTAACTCATAAGCGAACTCTAAAGAATTTTGTTGCCTCACGTGACCGAAAAAATTGTTGGCGATGCTGGGGAAGTGCTTTTTTTAATCTTACCCAGTATCGCCGTCAAAATTTTCACTTTTATGTGTCAGTGTTTAAAATCTTTAAATTCGTTTAAGTTAGGGTTAACGTTTATAATAAGGCTAGGTTTTAGAAAAATAATAGTAAAATCATTTGAGGAATTTTTTTGTTAGAGCGCAAAAGGTGGTTTCTTATGCAAGTTTTTGAGAAATAAGCGATTTTTGAAAAACGAACGCTTTGTTTTGATCTTCTTGATCGTGTAACGTTACATTAAAACGAAACTTGCTATTGGATGATCATCACGTGAAAGTGAAAATTGACGGTAGTTCAGGTGTAACGTGAAAATCACGCCTAGCAGATGTGATTTTCACGTCGATCATTTTGTCTATTTAATATACGCGTCTTAACCGTGATATCGTATATTTTAAAAATGTCTGAATTTCTAACCCTTACTCAATTACAAGAAGAAATTAACAGCTTAGAAGATCGACTCATTCAAGTACGGCAAAACAAAAAATGTACTTCTACTAACACAAATTTTACGTATGTATCTTAAAGAATTTTTAAAACAACAGACATTTATTTTTTTTTCATTCTAAAGTCATGTCGATTTTTTTAAATAGTGAACGTCTGATCAGCGTCAATGATCAATCCCTTTTATCAGTTAAACCTTGTAAAAGTGTTGATCATAATATTGATCAAACCATTAACCAAATAACACAGTTAAGATCATATACCAAAGTTCGGTTTACTCACGTTACCAATCATGTGAAAATGTCATCCATTGGAGGTACAAAGCAGATGTGCTGTTGATTTATTTTTTAATTTTAAAAAGATAAAAAGTTTTACGTAATAATTGTTTCCAGAGCATATTAGACATTACATTATGGCCGGAGATTCCCAGAGTTTAGGCTTTAATCTTGAGTTCGATGTAATCGAATCCGATCTTCGTATCCAAAACTTAAAAATTAAAGTCGACTCATATGTTAGACGCGAAATTGGACATTTCGTTGAAAAGTAAATACAGTTAGTAATTATGTTTAAATGTTGTAGAGTAAAATCATTAATATGCGTGATTCATTAATGAATTTAGTATGGAGAAGGATGCGAACTTGTTGACGTTTTTCAAAGGTTTCGTCGAATACGCCCGATTGAATGGTCAACGCGAATTATTATTTAATACATTGAAGCAAAAATTCTCGTTCCTAGCTGTTAATGCATGTTCTAATTATTTGCTGAAATTTTCGGATCCTAACGATAGGTTTGAATTAGAAACATTCAATCTCAAAAGTTCTTAGTTTATGTGTTCGTAACACTTACACTTGCAATTTTTAGTCGAGTAAGTCCGGAATTGATCTTCAAATGGCATTTAAATTTAACATCTAGTCACGTGTTCCCAGATGTCGGTTTATTAGCTAGGATGCCTGACCATTGTAAGTTTAAATGAATCTTTTTGATTTCTTAACAATTATATTAAAATCTAAAAAAAATTATGCAGGGAAATCGATTGACGAAAAACGTATAATTGACCAAATACCATACAATTTTCAAAAGTTGGTGGAACTCAAAGGAATTCAGCCTGCAGTCGAAATGATCGTGAAGAGTATTTTTTCGGACGTTTAAAATGTTTAATAAGCATTCAATAAACTATCAATTATTGATATATATTTATTTTCTACGACTTTTTCATGTCAATTTATAAGATTATAAAATATTTTAAAGGATAACTTTTAATAATTAATTAATAAATTAGAAAACATCCTAAATATAACCAAAATTGTTATTAGGAACATTCTAAAGATTTAATTTTATATATATCACTTTGTTAGTGCTTATACGCTCTTTTCTGTAACTTTGTCTTGACTAACAAATGTACGTCCAGTTTCCACACCTGGCACCAAATAAGAAATATCATCCCATGGATGTCGATAAAGTCCTTGTTTAAGTCGACGTTGATCAAGATAATGACCTATGTACAAAACATTTAATAATTGTTAAATTATAATTATACTTGCCTTTTAATCTTCACAATCTTACAATAAGTTTCTTACCGGTGAATCCTATGCTTCTACCTAATACAAATAACCCGTTTAAGGCTCCAATCTTAATATATTCTTCCGCTTCTTCTCTACTAAAAGCACCTGATTCACGTAACATATCAACGAAACAAACTGCGATAGCACCATCAAGATTAAGAATTAGAGAATCTTTTTTAGCTGTTGTTATTTCTTCAACGGCTAAAGCATAATCCAGTAACTTCGTAGATGGGAAATTATTTCTTGCAAATTCCTTTATTATTTCGACGCGAAAGTCTGGGTTATTGCGTGATTTGACCTTATGTCCTATACCGAGAATTCTAAATTAATAAGGTGGTTTAGTTACTATTAAATTGGCCGCTTTAAAATGAAATAATTTTATTTAACCTACAGTTTGTTTTGTCTTCTCATTGAATTAACGAATTCACGAGGAGTCAAGCTTTTGTCATAAGCATTGGTAAACATCTCTGCGGCACCATCAAGTGCACCTCCAAATCGATCTCCCTATGACCAAAATGAGTTAGAGGGTTATTTTTTTTTAGAAAATGTAGTAAATAACACAAAGTTTATAAAGTTTATCAAAAACTTACTATTGTTAAAAGCCCAGTACACAAACTTGATATAAGATCTTTTCCAGCACGAGCAGTAACAATTGTATTGTGTGCACTGAAAATGATAAAAATACGAATTAAATGTTAAAAATGAATCATCAATAAAATTTGTTGATAAATATTGCTTACCCAGATACAGCGGGTCCATGATCGGCTGTCAACATAAGTATCATTTCGATAAATCGGCATGCATAGTCAGGAAGTCGTCGCTTAAACCAAAGCAAGCTTAAAACACCACCAATTCCAATGCTTTCTTTAAACACATCAGATATTCTCATTCCAGCATACAATAATTCTTGTCCACGATCATCACATATGGTAGACATGAAACTCGCAGGCTTACGAACCAATCCAAGTTCCTGTGCCCAAGAATAATCAATGGGCACCTTTGGAACTTCTGGTTCAGGTGCGGGTACGATGATACCTTCAGATGCAAGTTTTTGATAGACATCATGTAATGCCAAAGGTAATTTTTCAAATGTTTCTGGAACGATGGCACCTGCATTCCTGAGTGCAATGTTTTTTGCGTTTGCCGTTTCTAAATCAGACTGAGCCATAGCACCAGCATGTCCAAATTGGACTTCTGTTGAAAACATCATGGCACAAGTTCCAATGCACCATGCTATTAAGGGTTTTTTGATACGCCCGTCTTTGAGAGCTTCACAAACTCTATACTCTTCAACACCTCCAACCTCACCTAACAAAACCAATATCTTACAATTTGGATCGCTTTCAAAACGTAATAAATGATCAATAAAGGTGGAACTAGGGTATCTATCACCGCCTATAGCTATACCCTCATATACGCCATTAGTAGTCCTAGAAATAATATTATTCAACTCGTTGGACATCCCACCGGATTTTGAAACATAGGATACAGAACCTGGACGATATAACTTGGAAGAGATTATATTGTCCATCATGCCTCCCGTATTTCCAATCTTAAAGCATCCAGGTTTAATACCGCCAACAGTTGCAGGACCAATTATTAGCACATTTTTCTCTTTAGCTTCATGAAGTATTTGACGTGCGTAACGTTCAGGGACACCTTCGGCAATAATTGCGATCGTTTTTATTTGATTACTATATTTCATGAATTCAAAAGTTGATTCGTAAACAGAGCGGGATGAAGCAAAATTTACAATGGTATCAACTTCCGGAAATTGTGATATTGCGTCTTCGAGATTGTTAAAGACATTAAGAAGTGTTTCCTTTGTACCCCAGTAAAATTTTTGTAAGTGATTTCCACCAAAAGGATAGATCATAGCGGCAACAGAAGGGACCTCCCGTTTACACATATAGTCAAAATCCAGCATGCCTTGGACAGCACGTGATTGCATTCCATATACAAAAGCACGAGTTTCTTTTGTGAAAGCAGTATACCAAGGACGATCTTGCGTAGTAGGATTTTCAAAGTAAGTCATTCGTTCACGTGGATCAGCTATCGGAGTTGTAGGTCCAGATTGACTTTCTTTCGATTTCGCCGTAACTTCAAGATGAATGTCATTTGTTTCGGTAGATGTCTTTGAGGTAGTATATGAGGTGGTTTCGATTAAATAATTACCAGATGTATCTGTTTTATCATTGAAGTCGATATCAAGTCCAGAGCCACGTCCCAATAAAGCTAATGGTACAATCTCAGTGATATGAGTTTCTGGCCCAAACACATTAATTTCAACGCCGAGATCATCACCTAATTGCCTCATAGATCTTAATCCTTCTTGATAATTAGGGCCACCACGCCTAACAAATATTTTTACATTGTGCAAGATCAATGCTTTTTTGAATTCTTGTAGTGCACGGATTAATCCTTTGAAAGTGACAGCGACATTCGTGAAATTTGCAATACCACCACCAATAATAAGAATTTTTCCTTTGGGATCCGGAACAGGTTGACGAGTCATTAAATCAAGTATAGTTTTGGCGTATTCATAAGTTTGTGTTTCAGTAGGAGCACCCGAATATTCACCATAATTAGCGAGTTCGTTGGCAAATCCTAAAGCGGCAATGGCATCACTATAAAAAAATTAATTATATATAAAATTTATTATTATTGTTATTATTATTATTAAAATATGATTTAAATACGAATAAATATGACTATTCAAGTTAATAGTAATATGAACATTCACCTGTAAACAACAGATGCACCACCACCAGCAACCATAGTCCATATTCTTCCATCTTTGTTTAAGATTGTTAATTTCAAAGAGGCTCCAGTCTTAGAATCTAATTCTCGTATGTACGCTTCCTCCTTTGTAGATTCTCGACCAAAAGGTGCTGGAAATTCCATGGGAGGACCTTGATCAACTTGAGACTTGGCAAGATCGTAAATATCAGGAATACCAATAGTTTTGGGGGCACGAGCAATAGCCCACTTTGGACCAGCTTCAAATTCAGCAGTCTGATCCAATTTAGTAGCTAAATCTAAATAGTAAATTTTTGGTACATCCTCTCCTGGAACAGGATCTAGTACAACTAATGGGTTGATTTCGAGGTATGTAAAATGTAAATCGACATATATTGCATATAAATGAGAAATAAAATCGACTAAAACATCTTTTTTTGATTCTGGAACATTAATTAACAAAGTATCTTTTATTTCTTGATACGTAGGGTAAGATTTATTAACTTTAATTAAAAGTTTCAAAGCTTTGGCATCAACATCACCAACTTCGATGCCACCTTCGTGGGTAAACAATATGTAGTCACCATCCCGAACAGAATTGATGTTTATATAATATTCGGTATTTGAAGGGTGAGGGACAAACGGTTCGACGAGAAAAGTTTTTAAAGTGCCAGTTACAGAATCAACCTGAAACGGAAACAATTAATCAGAAGAATGGTACAAGTTTAAGATCGAAAAACATTTAATTATCAGAAAGAAAACATTATTTGCTCACTTGAATTTCCTTGCCGCATCTCTCCGTAATCCATTCTTTGACTTGTTTCCAATCGGAGTTTAACAATAATAAACCTGATTTCCCACGCCTCTTTATGAGTTGATCTGGTTTTACAACCAAGTTATCAGTCAATAACCATGGATGTGCTTGTTCCAAAACGTTAAAAGTTTGTTGAACGTGATTTTCAAAAGCAACTTGAGGGTTACTAATTGTAGCATCTTGGAGGATAGAAGTGTTGAACGTAATGCTAGCGACTTTCGAAGGTGGTGGTAAGAACTTTGAAGCAGAATCCTGGCTTTCTTTGAAAAGTAGTGGAGAACGAAGAAGCCAGTATGCTAAAAGAAGTTTTCCATCATATTCCCTAATTGCTTTAGCGGACATTGTAATAGTAAGTATCTATCCTTGAAAGGGGAGAGGTTGAACTTTTTTTCTTATTGGGGTGAACTTTAAGCATTTTCCTGTCATATAAATTAACTACAGTACGTATCATCGTCAAATATGCACATGTCTGCTATGTTGTTATCATGCTATGAAATTTGATAATCAAGAATTGAAGATCAATTGATTGTTCAAAACATTTTTTATATTGTTAATATCATTGGGTATCATTGGGGCAACTTTTTACACTACCCTAAATTTATGATAGATGTTTAACGTGAGTCAAATCATTTGACTATAAATATATTTACAAGAAGTGAATTTTTAACGGTAAAAAGAAACTTTAACAGTAAAAAAAAGAGATGGGTTTTTAAGGTGGAAAGATGGTAATTATATTAGTTTTACTGATTTTGGGGTTCAGTTTAATATATGCGTCATACGGTTGACGCATATGTCATGTAGTAATTCGGGGTTTTTAATTTTGACCCAATTCCAAAAACGCGCCCGAATGTATAGTATGGTTGCTAAGTATAGTTTTTCCTAATGACTTTTTTTAAAAAATATAATACGTACTGTAAAGACAATTTTAACAATGATATCAGTAAGTTATATTTTGGATCACGCACATTGTTTAGGTTCAAAACTTCCAAGTTCATTAATGCGTATTAGATGTTTATATTACATATACATATCGATATATAGCTACGTAAAATATATGTTAATGAATTTTTGGGATGATTTGGGACTTGATTATGTCGATTAAAATCAGTGTATAATACTGTAATAAAAATTACTTTTATTTTAATTGTCTGAATTCGGTTTATTTTTATTTACAGTATGTATGCCTAATCTAACGAAGTACAAGAGCTGGAACATTTAATTAAAGGATTCATAGACACTGGTATAAATCTTGGACTTGTGACCTTGATCAGATCAATTTGACTGGACCAGTCCGAAGGTTCAAATTGGTCAAAAGTATATATATATTTTCATATATTACAGAACTATTAAACTTGACCATCGGACTAAATTGATCAAAGACTCTGGCCAATGACTAGCAAACTTATAGTTTACCACTGATTTGACAATCCCGGATATAACACATTCGGGTAGAAATCACCTTTCAGATCGTTTATTCGCGTCAATTTGGCTGGTAAGTATGAAGTTATTTACGACAAAAAGAATTTTGTCATTTATGTTACTAGTAATTGTAACTTATAATTTCTTAGCAATTTTCATTAGAATAGAGTTAGTATTTCTTTATGAGAATTTGAATTATTTGAATTGTTGACAATGCAATCAAGAACAAATCAATATAAAGAAATACTAATAATTCTAATAAATAATGGTTATTTTGGCAATCATTAATCGTTATCGATAGAAATTGATTACAACCCCAATCGATAAAGTCGATAATGCCAGTAATTACAACCCCAATCAATTATAATCGAAGATGGTAATCGATTAACCGTTAACTTTAATAGTTATTATTTAACGATTATTAAAAAAAAACGGCAGAAAACTTGATCGACGATATATTAAGTGTTGTAAGTGATAACGATAACTGATATATTTACTATATATATATGTTGTTAGTGGAGAATTTAAGTGGGTTCGGGATTTTTATATAAAACCAGCATTCTGGGGTTGATATTATCATATGAACACCCTTACCCTAACCTTAATTAACTAGGAAATTCCAAATCCACTTAAATTCCGTTTCCATTTACAACATATCGATATGTACACGATATAGGATACTCCGCAGATTAATATGTACGATACGAATTTAAACCCATGCCATATATGGAACTACAGCAGATTGGTTACAATCCTGCCATATTGGTCTCAATTTTGCACATTGTATTGGAAGATGCATCATATCAATATGTTGATCAGATTTAATAATATCCATGATCGAGATACCATAAACTTAAAAATCTGAAGTACGATGTTTTTTCTTTGTCAACACTCAAACTTTCGTATTAATAGGAAAGATAATATAGTTAAGGGGTATTTCTGATTCATAAAGTGTTGATATTTAGACTATATTCGTATCCATATATAATCCATATTTAATTTACTAATTGGACCTGTTGAGAAAATCTCTACCCGGGTATTATTAAATTATCCGGGTAAATTATTATGTATTTCGGGTGATCATATAGAACCAATTTTTACCCAGGTCCAATCTCTACCTTTAACTCATTTCGTTCATGATATAATAACGACAGTCCTCGAGAAATAGTATCTCCTTATTATAATACCAAATTTTGTACCTTCGCAAATCGACAAATAGTAAATTATATGTTGTAAGTAGGAACGGAATTTAAGTGGTTAGGGTAAGAGTGTTCATATGATAGAATCAACCGAATCCACTTAGACTTCGTTTCCACTTATAACATATGTAAGGACATTAGTAGAAATTTGGGTGCTATGTGTGGTGCATCAAGATAATAGCGTATATTGTTAATACTGTAATGATAAGTTTCGTGTTACTCAATGACTTTCTTCACATTGCATTTATATTTGTATGAGTAACAATAACAAGTTACGCGTTTGTCAATCAAATTTTAGATTGTTTTCTTTTATATGTATAAAGTTTTTTTTTCGTAAAAAGTTTGTTTGACTTTACAGAAAGATTACTTCTTGAAAGAATTGTCAAAATCAGTTGATTTTCCTTTAAAGAAAAAATTTACTATTTTTTTTTTGAAAAGAATGATGTACTTGTTAAAAAGAAGTTACCGATAAAAATCACGAAAATTATCTTAATTCGGAGAAATATTTGGATTTTGAAAAGGAATTTCGTCCCTAATACTGCCTGCCATATGTTGTTGCGAACTAAACTTAAATGCACCAAATGTTTCACTTGGAAAATTATCTAACCCTTGGCGACTAATTTCGCAATGTTAAACCAGACAATCTGAAATGATATGCAATAACATTAATGGATATAGTTTTGTTGATCTCGAAAGAATTAAAATTTTCCTGTTCACACATATTTATTAAAGAAAAAAATTCAAAAACTGTTACTTTGGAGAATATCGTCGAACCATTAATAGTATACTTATAATGTGAATAATTTATAAAAATGTTCAATTTTAGTGGAAACGTGATTCGATCATTTCATTTTAGGCATTTCCAAATTCTTTATTAAGTTCTCTGCGTAATATGAAAGAAATCAAATAAGAATTGAATTTATAACGAACAAATCCATGTTTTTTCCTAAGGTGTTTGTTGTACAAACCTTCCAATTAACAGGCGCCGAATTTCGCTTGTCCCTGCACCAATTTCGTATAATTTGGCATCGCGAAGAATACGCCCGGTATCAAAATCATTAATATAACCGTTCCCTCCAAGACATTGGATTGCATCTAATGCAACTTCGGTGGCCCGCTCAGCTGAATACAGTATTACTGCTGCGCAGTCCTTGGTTGAAGAAAAACAAACCATTATCTAACCGTTAAATAGTTAAATCAATTAAATTAAGACAAATCTATACTTTATTTGAAATATAACCTCGATCACAAGCTCTAGCAACAGAGTAGACATATGATCTTGAGGCATTAAGTTTGGTATAAATGTCCGCTAACTTGGCCTGAATTAATTGAAAATGCGCAATCGGTTTACCAAATTGGTGGCGAGTCTGTACATAAGGGATAACAATGTCGAGAGCTGCTTGCATAAGTCTAAATTATATCATTAGATTAGATTTAAACTTAATGTAAGCTTTCAATGAATACATTATGGCTTACCCTAACGGTCCTCCAGAAAGGACCAGTCTTTCCAAGTCTAAACCACTCATTAGCACATATACACCTTTACCTTCAGAACCCAAAACATTTGTAGCTATAATACCGAAGAATGTCAAATATCATGTCCAATAACGTTTTCCTACTGAAAAGGAAATAAAAACATACACGGTATCACACAATCTTCGAAAACAAGTTCGCAAGTATTAGAACCACGCATCCCAAGTTTATCAAGTTTCTGCGCAGTTGAAAATCCTTTGAAACCCTAACCCAAAGTTAGTAAATACGATGGTATTCATATTTAATATCATAATAGAATTTATATGTTTAGAAGAGAAATTAAGGCTTACTTTCTCTACTAAAAAAGCAGTGATACCATGTGAACCAGCTTTTGGATCAGTCTTAGCGTATACAATTAAAACATCTGCATCAGGACCGTTTGTTATCCACATTTTATTGCCATTAAGGACATATTTGTCACCTTTTTTCTCAGCACGCAAGCGCATCGATACTACATCGGATCCAGAACCAGGTTCTGACATCGCAAGCGCACCCACATATTCGCCTGATATAAGCTTATTAGTCCAAGCATAATAGTAATAAATAAGTAAATACATAGATTTAATGAACTATAAGGTACTTAAATGGAATGTACCTTTGGTAGGTATTTTTGTTTCTGTTCTTCATTGCCATTTCGGACTATTTGGTTAACACAAAGGTTAGAATGGGCACCATATGAAAGTGCGACGGACCCGGATGCTCGTGATATTTCCTCCATGACTAATGTATGTTCGAGATAGCCTAAATTCAATCCACCATATTGTTCAGGAGCGGTAATACCCAATAGGCCCATTCCTCCGAATTTTTTCCACATGTCCTACAAGTATATTTTTTTTTTTTTTTATTAAACCGCGTTTCTGGTTCAATTACAGTGTGATCTGAAGGAATTCTCAAGCAATTATGGTTCCTCAACCTACCATTGGAAAGGAATTTTCTTTATCTATAATAGCAGCGCGGGGGGCAAGCTCTTTTTGACAAAAACTATGAACCATTTCACGCAACTAAATTAAAATGAGGATTGTATTACTAGGTAGCTGCTTAGTAAGTCAACGAAGCCGAACTGCCATGGTACCTCATTTTGTTCATTTGTCAAACCGGCAACATGTGCATTGTAGGTAGATACAAAGGAACGTTGAATCTCGAATACCTTTGAACCCTAAAATATAGGTTAAACTAAAATTGTCTGGCAATCAAAATATTCATTAAAGCCTTACCACACTTTTCTTTATTAAAAATGAGGTGTCGTATCTGATTTGTGCGGTTGCTTTTGTGATTAAAGATCGCAACATTTTTATCTTATGATGCAAGTAGCATGGAGGTCGAGGTAGGACCGTCCATGTTACACGGAGTTATCATGTAGTTAATTAGGTCATAATTTAACGTTAATACCAAATTAGTGGTCGACTATAAATTGCTGGTCATTGGTCAAAGGATTTCTGGTCAAACTGGTCAAATTGGTCAAATGATCTAGCAATATGAAAATTTGATTATAGTTAAATTGGCCAATTTGTTCTTATAACTAGATCATTTGACCAATGTCAAAGATGCTTGACCGGACTGGTCATTGGTCACTGTATACGACAGTATACTAATTTCATTACCTTTTCACCTTTTAGAAGTTTCGCCATTTTAAATTTTTTTTTGGCGAAACCTCTAGGTTTCGCCTAACAACACTAGTCTTGATTATAGTACGTATAGATCAATTTCATGAGTTATTTTGTCGACAGTCAATTCATTGATAAAGCTTGAGCGATAGGGTTGGCGTTAGCGTTGGCTAGAGGTAAATTGTCGATGAATCTTTAATTATATACGTACATAACTTAGTCAATGAACATTAAAAAATTGGGATAAACATGTTTTTATGAATAACGGACAATCTACACTAATATTTTGGATCTTAACAATGGATGTTGGTGATTTTAAAAGTGGGTTAGTGATTTGAACATCGAGTAAGTTCACTGTTCAAATAGTAGATCAGTTGGTGCCTTTAATATTGATGGGTTAATTTAGCGGGGAGTAAATTAGTAGTTTAAACAATAAATTAATAAGTGTTTACGATTCGAGTGATTTGACGACTTCAATTGTGAGTATTCGTTTTAGCAATGCAGGTTCGTGGCTTTGACAGAGACAGGTAGTGATTTGAATAGTGGGTGCACTCACCATTTCTTTCTTGACTAAGCCATACACTTCGCTTCACCCCGTTCCTGGTAAAGGACTTTCGTCTAATTGCCTAATAAAAATCCGTTGCCCAGGTCAGTGTTAAATAGTCTTGAAATTACAAAAACGAATATGAAGCAGCACTCTGAATTCCGTTTTCATAGTTATAATTCTGTAATCATCGAAAATAAAAATTTGATCAATTACTACGTATCTCAAAATCGTCAGAAAAGCAAACAAATTATTATGTATAGAGTTATATTACAGAATTCGATGTCGAAATTTAAACTAAAGAGCTAAGTAAAATTATAACTAAGTCTTGACAACTAAATTTAAAATAAACACTCATAAAATATAATAATAATTTTATTATTGCATATTTTGTAAAAATTTTAAAACTTTAACTCGAATAGACTTTATTCAATAAATTAATGATAATATACATTCAACCTAATTATTGTTTACAGTCATCCCCCTCTATAATCACATAAACTGTTACTTGCAAATTTGGTGATTATAGAGAGGTGTGATTATATAAGGGTTTTTAATTTTTAAAACTATAATTAATCACATGACATATGACCAATTAAATCTTTATTTATTTAATAACAAATTAGTTTAAAATACCGATACTGTACTACGTACTATAATATTTAAGATAATAGTAAAACACTAATAAAAAATAGTTATTTATAAATTTAACTAAAACAGAACTTACAAATATAATAAGCAATTTATATTAAATAAAGATTTGAACAAAATAAATAAAATTATAAATACTTAATAAAAATCATTAAGTTCTCAAAAATGACTACTATAGTATATTCTTGTTATTTAATGGATATCTGTGAATACAGGATATTCTATAGAAGATCCTGTATCCACAGATATTCATTAAATAACTAGATTATTCCATGGGTATGACATAACAACCTATGCAACATATTATTGAATTAACCTTTTTTTCTTTTCAAGAGCAGAAAAAATCTCTTATTCAAAGAACATTATCAATTATTTATTAACTATTAAATGTTGCTATAACCATTATGTGAACTATCGTCAGGACCATTACCTGTATCATTTTGCATAAAACATCACTAGAATCACGAAAAAGACTATTACTACAATACTAAACATTTCATTAAGTCAATCAAATAATAAAGAAATTTAATTATTAAATAAATAATAAATTAAAAGAAAAAATTAAGTATTTAAAAAAAAACCTAGTTCTTTATCAAATAACAATTTTAAAAATCCTTCTTAACAATGACAATTTAAAAAATTTAAATAAAATTGTTCTTAATACACGACAATTTAAGGAACTAAATCTAAATAAAGTTCTTTTTAGTACACAACAATCTAAAAGACTGAAACCTAATAAATCTCTTTCTAGTATATGATACCAATAAAGTTTTCCTAGTATATGACAGTTTAAAGACTGAAACCTAATAAAGTTCTTTCTAACACATGATGATTTAAAGAATCTAAATAAGTTTTTTCCTAACACATGACAGTTTAAAAGACTGAAAACTAATAATGTCTTTCTAGCATATAACAATTTAAAAGACTGAAAACCAAATAAAATTCTTTTTAGTACACAAAGTTTACATACATAGCATGATTATTTATGCCAAGATTATTCACATCGGTCTATATTAATCATGTAATTTTCATATAGACTGATGAAAATAACCTTATCAAAAAAACATGAGTTGTTATATAGTACTCATGGAATAAGAATATATACAACTCAAACTAATTATAATCATACTTGTGATAAAATAAGTACAAAATTATACAGTATAAGTATTTACAATTTTAATACTGAAGTAATTAGACAAAGAATTACTCATTCAAAAAATAAAAAATAAAAGCGAGCTATCTATATTTAAACAAAACATTAGAAAAATTATATAATAATAGTTATTAAATATAAATAATACAGTAAAATTTCTATAAATGCATATATAATACTTGAAACCAAACTTTAAAAAAGCTGTGCATTTATAAAATGCATTTATAGAAATTTTACTATATAATATAAGGAATTCATATACATTAAACTAATATTTTTAAAGTAAATAAGCAAACAAGAAAAAAATCATACTACAAACTTAGATAATAATATTTGAATTTTTTTCTACAGATATAAAATAATCTATAATAGAACTTTGTTTTCTTAAATCAGTATCTTTACATCTCATTATAGATAAATATTTTTGAAAAATACTTAAATCTTCTGATTTAAAATTTTGATCTGTTTGTTGTTCAAAAAATTCTATAAATTTTTTTAAACCTGCTAATCTTTCTGAAATCAAAATTTTTATAGATTTCTCATCTGAATCATCAGAATCTTGTTCCTTTTGTTGCTGCTTCACTAATACTAACTCAACAATTTCAGTATTGTCTAATTCTTTTTCTGTAGAAATTTGTGCATTATTAAGTTCAAGATATTTATTAACCTAAAACAAAACTATTAAATCTAATTATGCAACAGATGATTCAATATTATCATCTTCTTGTTTAATATAAATATAAAAAAAACTTCTTATATATTAAATTTCATTATAGTTAACAAAAGATAGAATTCTAGTTTTTTTCTAACAGTTTATAATTGTAGTTTCACTAACTTCATTCTATGACTCTGCTATATAATAAATTGCATCTTTGATAATAACTTTTTTCCTAAAATTTTATAATTAATTAAATAATAATATATATATAACAATATTCATATGTAATACTGTTGTTATATTTTTGAATAACTGAATACAGTATAAATGAAAATTTATTCAAAAATATAACTAATACTATATATTAGCTATTTAAGTAACTAGTATAGTATATTAGTTATATATTTTAATAAATTTTTACTTATGCAAATACTTACTGTTTTATATCTTTATCTTACTCAAACTGAATAAAAAGATGCTAAATAAATTTATATTTATATTTTGATTTGAAACATTTGATTACTCCTGCATCTATAGGTTGAAGATATGCAGTAGTATTAGGTAACAAAAAGTGAAGTTTAATATTAGTTAACTGAAAATTAGTTAAGTCAGGAATTGTATATAAATGACCTCAACTATTATAAGCTTAACTTTCATTTTGCTGTTCAAAATTAGAGTTAGAGGATAATAAAATACTATTGGATTATAATAACTAGATGTATTATCAACTAAAAGTAAAATATGTCTGTTTTGAAAATAGAATTGATAATCTAATATTTTTAGCCAATCTCCAAAAATATCACATTGCATTCATGCTCGAGAGTTGGCTCTATAAATAACTGGCAAGATATCATAATTAATATTAACAAGTGCACAAGGTTGAATTGAGAATCCAATTATGAGAGGTTTTAGCTTTTGTGTTCTAATTGCATTATATACTAGCATTATAGAAACTCTCATTTTATTCTAAAATTTTAAAAAATTAAAATATATACAAATAATTTATTTAAAATAAATAAGGTAGAGAAGAGGTAAAGTAAAAAATTGACAAATTAATATAACTATTAATAAGAATACTATAATTATTAGTATATGCATTATAGAATCATTCACTCTATTTACCTTTACCAAGATACCTTCTTTATCTTATATTTGTTATTTATCTTCTTCTAGCCTAAACGTGATTTTGTTGCAAGAATTTGGTTAGATGTTATTTGAAAAAAAAGCTCAGTTTTGTCTGCATTAAACACATTTTCAAGAGTATATTCTTCAATAATATTATGCAGAAAATTCTGCTGATCAGGTAAATTCTCTAAAGAAGCTGAACTTGCTTCACCATGTAAACAATAGTTTTGTAAATTATTTTATTTTTTAAAATGATAAATTTAGCTATTAGAAAATTTAAGCAACTTAGTATTTATACTCAAATTTTGTACAAAAAATTTAGCCTTTTCTTTTATAATTAATTCAAACAAAAATAATCCTTTACTCATGACTTGTTCAATCTATAATTGCATCGCTTGATCTAATGATAGATGTTTAACTTGTTTGTGATAATAAATATTTGCATTATCAGCATTATTATCTACTGCCAACCATTTTTGTTTTTCTTTTAATATTTTACTAATTGTTGAATACTCAAGATTAAGTTAAAAGTTTTTTTGAAAATATTCTGCAAT